GTGATAATAAAGCGCGGATCGTCATATGCTCCTTCGCGAGGTTCTGTCCGAGCTGACGCCACATAAGGGGAAGGCGCGGATAGCCATCTACATATTCGCAGGGTTTTGACACGTACGAAAGGCGCTAATTATGATATGTATCTTTCCTTTATTTCTACAACCGTCCGTCTCTTACATCAATTGCCACCTATCTCCCCCTCCACTCTTCTTATAAATATCACACCCAACACAACCTTCAAACCACACTCAAATCTCAAATTCTCTCATTCTTCTTATTATCAATCTTTATTTTAAGAAGGTAAAATATTTTCTATTATATTATAATTATTTAATATTTTATTATTTTATTAAATTTTATTATACTATTTTTTTATTACTTTTTACAGTTATGAAATGGAAGACAGTTTGCTACGTTTAGATGAGAATCATATCTAAAGGTATTTTATCGATACGGTAACAATTTTAAATTGTGTTGTTATTTTAATTATTGTGAATGTTTTATTTATTTAATTTTTTAGTATTAGTTTATATTTTAATTTGTAAACTATTTATTAAATTAGGAGAGATCATATATTAGATCCATTCATTCGTAACGTTAAGTAAGAGATACATTCTCGTGTCTGGCCGTATTTAGTAGAGGCTGGATTCGGTTATATAGCGAAATATGAAGGGCACTGTAACCAGACACACACACATTCTATCTTCCGTGTGGAGAGTGCATGATTATGCTGGAGGATGTTTCTATACATTTGGGGTTTCTGGTATATGGGGATGTGATTTCTGATGTGGCAGATAGTGACTGGCATTCCTTGTGTGAGGAGTATCTTGGAGGTGTCCTGCCTAATTTCAATGGTAGGTGAATACCGTTAAATTGATTGGATACAATTTTTAAACATTTCAGTCACGACGCCTCTGAGGAACATGTTAAAATGTATGTATGAGCTTGCATATTATAGCTCATATGAGGGATCTTGATGCCCAAAAAATCGCGTAATCAAGTTCATTATATGTGGGTGCATCACCTCACAGATTTTCACGTTGTCAGTACACTCAGTTAGGACTCTGTAGTTTTGGCATTTTGTATAGGAAAACATGTCGTGCAAATGATTATAAAAAAATGCTATCGACAGATGTCTCATTCTTTTCCAGTCTTGGGCGTGGTATGTCATTTTTATGTCAGTTCGTGAAAACATGTTGGTCTTCCCGTTATTGTTGATGTAATTTCAATATTGAATTTATATAAAAATATATTTGTTGAGTATATAATGAATTTTTTCATTAAATAGGTGATCAAGTACAAGAAAATATCATCGGGATTTACCAGATGAATTGGAAAAAAATCGACTACTAATTGATCAGAAGGTTGGTACAGACGTATGTATTTAAATTTTATTATTTACTTTTAATTATTATTATATAATTAAAATATTATTTTGATAATAATTATATATATTTGTTTTAGTTTTAATGGGCTCCTTATTCTACTGATGAAATGAGGATTTATATCTCACATCACTTGAGAGGCCCATTAGATGTCTGGATGACGGTGGTCCCACTGATATGTTATGTTATTGTCGAGTGGCATTCCCCGTACATAACCTATTTATCATCGATAGACGGGGAAAAAAAGAAATCGACTGGCTACTAAAGAACTTCAAGTGGGTAACGATATAAAAGGATCGACGTAGACGCATTCCCCGTACATAACCTATTTATGTGGATCATTATTCTGTTGCGGATGATTATTATGAGTGGTTTAACACGAAGGGGAAACAATTCCTACTTTCCAAGGAAGCACGAGGTGAGAGCATTCATCAGTGCCGATAAAGACATCAACCATCACAAAATCATCGTCTCCCAACTCGTGGACAGAAAGCAGACGCTTTCGGATCATCCTCAACTGTAGCATCAGAACCATCACAATAGTTATATCTACACCAGTGTATATTCCACAACCGTTTTAGATGGCATCGCAACCATTTCAGATGCCACCACAGACGAGTCAGACACCACTACTTCCATATTAGATGTTACCAAAACCATATCAGATACCACCGCAGCCGGGTTAGATGCCACCGTCGCAGGGTTTTATGACCCTTCATGGTGGATATTATACTTTCATGCTTATAGATCCAACGTGGGGTTCATATGCTGCTTATTTGGCGGGTGAAGGTGGACCACATACACAGACACCTCCGGCGCAGTTCTCGCACTCATTGATGTCAACGTGTTCGCAATTTTTACAATTTTCTATGACCGGTGTGATAGTCAGTCATACACCTCTAGGGTCCTTATTCTATGGAGGTGCTACTTCGCCATTCGTCCCTCATCAAAAAATGTAGCTGCTCCTGATGATGATGATAATGATGAGAGTGAGGAGGAAGAACAAGATATACAAAGAAATCCTCATCGACACAGATAGCTACCGCCCTGCGTAACAAATTCAAGATATAGGTATCGATGGAGTGGCTTAGTTTGTAATGTTTTTATTTAATTTTGTTTGTTTACCAACAATTGTAAAGTTTTTATTTAATTATGGACTTTTTATTTATTTTGTTTGTTAATGTCTTTATTATTTAATTGTTCGAATTGTACGTCTGCATTTAATGTTTCTATTTAGTTGTTTTTATTATTTGATTTGTATCGTTTTATTGTATTTAGTTTGTAATATTTTTATTTAATTTTCACTTGAGTAGTCCATTACTCGATGATTCTCAAATGACATTAATTGAAAATAAATAAAAATTAAATAACACAAACTTAGATTTCATAAACAACTATTACATCATAACAGCGTCAACGGTTACTTGATGACAAAAGAGATTGACATTTTTCCTATTGTGTCCTAGGTTTCTACAATGCCCACATCTTTTGTTTTCTATGGACGTATCCCGAATATCCATATCATAATGAATTCGAGTGGATTTTGGACGACCGAACTCCTTTAATAAGGACGGATCTGGTACAATTAGAAGCCAATTTTGAACATAATCAGGGTCTTTCTTATTACCCATGGGGGAAATCAAATTCATATACGTTAAATCTTCTGGAAGTCGGTATACATGATCCATAAAACAATTATATTCTTGACGGGTATAAGAGCAAGCTGCTAGGACATGAGAGTCTGGATACTTTAGAGTTTGAAAAAGCCCACAATCGCACCACCTATCTCGTAGATTAACTTTGAACGAGTTAGCCTGAATCCCTTGAAGAGGTCGCAAAATCTCTATCACTCGAGGTGATTCATGAGTTCTAGAGAAGATTGTTACAGAAATTCCATTTGATGCAACAATTCTTTTTTGCAACTAATATTGGGTGATAGACATAACCTCTTTGCATCCAAGTTTGAGCTTGTCTCCCGAACTTGGCAAAAAGCGCTCCCAAACGAAAATATGTCATTTAACCAAAGCCGTTACTGGTAAATGGCGTGCCCCCTTTAAGGTCAAATTGATAGTCTCAGCCAAGTTGGTCGTCATGTGTCTATATCGATATCCACCATCATATTCATTTGTCCATATTTATTTGTCAAAGAGGCTGATGTACTTGTAATCTTCCTCGTTCTTTCCTCGTAAATCTTGAAATATAGACTCAAATGTTTATGGTAATAGTTTGTAACCTGAGCGTTAAATGTAAAACTTAATGTTAAGTTTCCATAAAAAAATGAAAATGATTGAGAAATAAAATTAGGTATTTTTACATACTCATGTGCACAAGTAATTGGCGCTCATAATTCTTCTTGAACTTTCCATGATAATTAACAGTAATGTGTCAGATACAGTACTGATGTTGGACATAGGGTGGTTGCCACATTGGACCCAAATACTTTATTGCTACTTTAATCCCAACTCCGAGATCTAAAATGACAAAGATTTTTCCCCTCGTGACAACATGTAAGCGTAAGTTTCTGAGGAAAAAAACCCAAGAATCTATATCTTCTCCTTCAACAAGGGTAAAAACAACTGGAAGAATGTTACGATTACCATCTTGAACAACTAACAATAATAAAACTTGCTTGTATTTTTCATACAAGAATGTCCCATCAATTTGTACCACGGGCTCGCAATATTTCACAATATTAATGCACTGTGGGTAAGTCTAAAAAAACCGGTAGAATTGGCATCGATTGGGAAGAACTCGATCATTTTGGTATGTATGGTAAGTTTTAAAGTTGACAATTATTCCAGGATTCAATCTGTGCACTACCCTAAACCAACTTGATAGTTCGTTTTAAGATGTATCCACTCGCCGTGAAATTTTTTAATGTCATTCTGCTTTGTCTTCCATGCTTTTATGTATGAGACGATGTACCCATATTACGACTGTATAATTGAAATCAACACCGAAATAGTTATATGGGAGCTTGCTTTGACCTTGTGCATGATGGCTTGACAGATAATGTTAGAGTTCAAGTTGGGATAAGCTTGGTTGATCAACCTAGCACAATATATGTGATGACTGTTGTATAATGTTAGTTCCCATATATTGTTTTTCCTCTTCCTATTCAATACATGAACCATCCAGTTGCATCCGTTATCACGTTGGGCACAGTGCCTTACATACTTTTTAGAGGTACAATGGTCGAATATTGTAATTCTTAATTGTCATCATCATTTTTTTGGATGGAAACTCCATTTCTTTATATAACTCACCATTATTGATTCATGATTTAAATTCGTAGTCACCAACATTTGAAATATCCGTAAATTATGGTCCGTACATTGCACCATAGTTAGCTTCATACATGTGCACTGGAGGTTCGGTGTATACTGTATTTGTGGGAACTTCATCTACATCATTATCATCAGAGTCCATGTTGAACAACGGTGATCTCAGCACCATCTGCACCTGGCTCACGAAGATATTCTTCTGGTGGAGATGAGGGTTCATCCACAATGCCAACATTTAGGTCAAACAAGTTGGTACTTGAATGCCTTCCCCTTGAACTTGAAGGCATTTTGACATTAAGGTCGAAGAAGCTCGCAGTTGAATGCCTCCCCTGGAACTTGAAGGCATCGTGTCAAATAGGTACTGCACAAATTATTGCATTGAGGGCATCTCCATATTCAGGTCAAAGAAATTAAAAGATGAATGTCTTCCCCTTGAATTGGAAGCGATGTTGCCATACAGATTATTTGTGGAGCCACCTCGATACAGATTGTAAGAAGTTACTGATTAATGTCTCCCCATTGAACTTGATGGGATGACATCATGATGTGGATTTCCCATGAACAAGTTAAAATCATTACACATTACTTGAGTTGGACTGTCAACTTGATCAGCTTGTTCAGCCAACCCATAGTGGGAGCATAATGACATACCACGATTCGTAGACACTTCAACAAATATCGCATACCTCTGTGTATCGACGTCTGAATATTGATTCTAAAAATCAACCATCATAGTAAATTTTTCATCGTTGGAGAGTTCGAACGTTGTATAAGTTAACGAAAATACTGTGGTTGGAAATATGTAGTGAAGTGAGGAAAGTCTTCTAGTACTTTCAACATGAACCTTCCTTGAAATTTTAGTGATCAACTCCTCAAGAGTGATATTTCTCTTGAAGATATTCTGACAGAATAATTTGATGTGAAGACGACGCCAGTTTCATCTTCCCAAATTTCTCCATCATAGTAAACAATAGCTGAAATACATGTCATTTTGAAACTTTGAAAGATCGAGAGTCTTATATCTGAAATACGCCTAATTAAATAAATAATATATGAATTAAAATATAAACTAATCCAAAAAATTTTAAAAATTCACAATAAACTAAGTAACACATTTTCATATTGTTACTGTATCGGCAAAATGTCTCGAGGTTTGATCCCGCTTTCTAATTTTACAACCGTAAAAAAATAATATAAAATAATTAGTACAATAAAATTTGGTCAAATAATTAAATATAAAATAAATATAATATAATTAAAAATAATTTTACTTTATAAAAACAATAACAAAATTTACTTAGCTTGAAAGAAGAAATTGATAGAAGTAAGAATAAGCAAGTAATTTTAGTGTGGCGATGTTTGCATTCAGAGGGGCTGTTATTTATAGTGGAAGGGAGCGTTTAAAAGCCGAGTTTTTAGGCTCAGGTAATAATCCAGTACCAATAATTCAACGTGCATAATGGAAGGCACGAATCATGATCCACTCCTTTCGTATGTGTCAGAATCCCGCGAAGGCGTGGATCACCCTTTACGTGACAATAACTCGGACAGGACCGTGAAGATGCAGATGACGATCAACGCTAAATTGTTACCGTATCAGAAAGGATGTTAGATCGATAATATTTAAACAAATAGTTCCTAATAAGTAATTATTGCGTGTAATGGTGATATTCGGTAAAAACGCCTGCAAATTGACATTTTGCCCTGAAATGTCAACCGCATTCCGATTTCTGCTTTCTCTGTAGTACTTCCAGTTAAATTGTTTAATCGTTTGATAGAGACGTCCATTAGTGGACACGAGGATTCGCTTTGAGTCGCCTCAATTTCCTTTAAAGTAATTTAAAATTTTATGTATCTTTATGGTTTTGATGGAGGTTGATTTTTCAAAACATGTTATCATTGGTTTACATTATTTTAAATGTTATATGTTCAAAGTTTTTTTTTATCTAACTCATTTAAATTTGATCGGGTTTGAGTTATTAGATTTTTCATCGATTTCTTCGCCACTCAAACATCTCCGGATGGAGAGCCTTCAAGAAGTTGATATCCTTGGAGCCAAATATAATGTATAGACAAAAGCTCAAATAGTCCTACTTGGTCTATGAGGTGAAATCTAAATATTAACCACTAAATTTATTTAGTTTATTGATCTACGAGTAATTATAATGACTTTATACATAATAACATTAGTTAAAATCAATATAAATACTCCTCTACCACAATTAAGGAGAGATCCTCTCCACTCATTCTATTTTCGAACTCTTATATTCTCCTTAATTTATACATTCATCTCTCCCATAGAAAAATTGTCTACCAACAATGGTGGATCTAGAAAGTTTTTTTAAGGTGAGCATACATATATTAATAATATAATTTTTTTGATATAATCAAATTTTAGGGTGGACGCCATAGAATTTTAGGGGCACACGTGTATTAATGAAAAAAAACTTCAAATTTTAATGAAGAAAATTCGAATTTTAGAAAATTTTAAGATAAATATGTGCCCACTAACAACAATCAACAATGTACATCAGCCATTTTCTATCAACGAATAATGTTTACTCACTAATCATGACTCTCTATAAAAATCAAAATAGATGAATCTTAAGTGAATGAATTGTGGAGAAAAACTTATTCCCATATATATATATAATGAGATGCCGCAAAATTTTATGCAACCATAAAAACCCATCAAACAAACCTGCCCAAACACCTAAAACAAAACCTCGATCAAAGTCTATATCAAACAAGCAATATTGACATCTCAGAAACAAGAAGTAATATATTTCAGCCATGGCAGATGAGTTTAGTGCAGGAACAAACTGGTGGGATAGAACAGCTGCAGGTTCTTCTTCTTCATCATCTTCTGTTCTAAACAATAGCTTGGGAACTTTTGGTTGGGAGATGGCCGATATGAAGCCAGCATCTTCCATTGATTCCATCTCACCACCATCATCAGTCGTTTTCCAAGATAACCCAAGACTTCAAGCTGGAGCTGCTAATAATTTACACATGATGGAGCTCGGCCTTTCCTCTCAATCCATGGACTGGAATCAAGCTTTTATGTAAGTACTGCTATATATGTATGTATGTATATGTTTTATCTTTTGAAGGTGTTGATTAAAAGCTTTTGATGTGTGTTTCATAGTCGTGGGGAAAAGAATGAGACTAGTTTCAAACCCATGCTCGAAGAACATAATCTGGAAACTTCAACTGTTATCAATATGGATTCAACAGCTTTATATGGGAGTTCTTCATCGATTCTGCAAGGATTCATGTTGGGGTCTGAAAACAATCAAGTTCACGAGAGTCGTTCAATCAATGATTATCAATATGGGATGAACAGCAATGATCATCATCAGTTGTTGCCTAATTCTTGGTCTAAAGTCCCTCAATTCTTGAGAAATTCGCCTCCGAAGCATGGACAATTACATTTCTCAAATAATGCTCCCTTTTGGAATCCATCAGCAGCGGCTGCTGATCATAATGTCAGCCCGCCTGGGTTTCTCCCATCACTGCAAACCCAGATTCAAACAACGAATTTCGATGAAAACCCAAAGGTAATTCTTTTTTGAAAAAAGAACACTTCGTTTTGAAGATTCTTTTACTTTTTTTTATATATTAGGGTTTGGAATATTTTGTTTATTGAATTCTTTATCTTCATATGTCATTAGAATATATCTGGGGTACGAGACTCAAGCACTGTGGTGAAGAAAAGTGGAAACGAACCCTCATCTAAAAGGCCTCGAAGTGAAACCCCATCTTTGCCCGCTTTCAAGGTACAGTTCTTCTTCTTCTTCTCAGTATAATTTTGATTTCAGTCCTTTAATTACGCCAAAGTTTAGAATTTAATCCCTCTATGATACTTTGTAAATGAAGACGAGATTTGTATGGCTTTGATTATGATAGGTGAGAAAAGAGAAGATGGGAGATAGAATCTCTGCACTCCAACAATTGGTTTCACCTTTCGGAAAAGTGAGTTTTCTTATAAATTTTTTTAGTTCAAAAGTATGGTATTCAATCGGCATTCATATTTTGATCAGGGATTTAAAGAACAATTCACTACTGAAATAACAACAATAACGGTGTTATCTGAAAATGTTATTGTACGATGACGATATCTATAATAACATCAATAATATTTGTTAGGTATATAATCACAATAAATATAATATAACTGGAAATACGATCAAACTGTAATTTAAATCTCTAATTTTGATTCGAAAGGTGAAAGTTTATGATTGTTTTATTTTTTTATTTTCTTCCCATTATATGTAGACTGATACAGCCTCGGTGCTGTCAGAAGCCATTGAGTACATAAAATCCCTCCATGATCGAGTCAATGTAAGCTTCATTATCAACTAATGCTTCTTTATAAAAAGATATTCAAAGCATAAAATATCAAAAGTTTCCCCTTTTCCTTACTATATTCTTTCAGATTTTAAGTACTCCATACATGAAAAATGGAGCTGCCACTCACTATCATCACCAGGTAACAATAATACTTCATAAAAAACCTTTGATTCATGGTACGCAATTGATTAAGCAAATTTTCCTTTACTAATGCAGAGCTATGATAAGTCCATGGACCCTGAAGGGTTTAAACAAGATCTAAGAAGCCGGGGACTATGTCTCATGCCGGTCTCGAGCGCGTTTCCGGAGACGCACGAGTCGACGGTGGATTTTTGGACACCGACGTTTAGGGGAACATTCAGGTAGAAACAAAGATATAACAATGGATTAGGGTTATTCAAATAGGAGACCATTGGGAAAGAATAATTTGTTTGTAATAATTTAAGATTAATTATTATGAACAAGTTATATTGGATTAGGGATATTGAGAATTGAAGAAACAAGCACTGATTTTTTAGGGAAAAACTTACAAAGATTAATTTAGAAAAAAAAGAATGTCGAAGTTTAAAAGACTTTTTCCCCTTACCAACATTGTCAATTAGGGCTTTAATTTAATAAGAAGAAAAGAAATCGATTTTCTGAATTCAAGTGTGGGGATACCATTTGATTGGAAATCCAACTTTTTTTTAATTCTGTTATTATTACTAATAATATTATTTGGAATATATGGGCTAGTGGAAGTCACAAGGTGGGACACTCAAGCTCCTCCTTTCAGACTTTATATATATATATGATACTATTATGGGTTAATGTATTATTGTATTACATGATAATTAAGTAATTTTTTTTGGGATAATGTATGTAAAAATGCTATCAATCATGCTTTTGTGCTTTTCCAAGTGAGTGGTCACGTTGAGGAGCTTTTATTGGAAGGTAAAGAATAAAAAAAAAATGGTAAACACTAATATAAATATGATGTAAATTATCAAATATTTTAATATATATTAGAATTTAATTTACTTATATCATGAAATAGGATCATATGAAAAATAAAAATCTAATAAAGTAATTTCAAAAGGTAATGATATAAACATTTATTATTATTTGTGCGACGAACAAACATGAACGATATTAATATAATAATAAAAAATAATAAAATAGTAGCAATTGATTTTATTTTAATTTAAACATGATATATGAAATGCTTATAAACACCCATCAATATGAAACAATTAATTTGTGAGTTCAAATTATATTAGAACATCAAAATAATTGAATATCCGATAATTAGAAAGATATTATCACACCTAACCCTAAAAATACTTTAAAAAATAAGATTACAAAAAATCTCATGTTATATTTTTTAGGATGATAAAATATTGTCTTTATATCTTAATTTAATATTCGTTATTGATTTATATCTTAATTTAATCTTCATTATTTAATCTCAAGTTAATTCGGAGTTGTAAAATAGGACTCCTCAACTTGAATAACTCAAAATTTTTTGGCTCGACTCGACTCGATTGAACACTCACCCCTAAATTAATTTAAGAAAATAAGGATGATTTTAGAATTTATTTGGGTTACTTCATTATTAACAAATTTAATTAAGAATAATATTTGATATATTATTTGTGTGTAGTTTTATGTATTATAAGTGAACAAAATTATGATATATGGTTGATAATACATTTATTTTTAATTTTTTAATAATATATTATTATTTAATTCATTGATGATATATAAAATGATAAATCAAATATTTTTTTTTCATGAATTAATTAAATTATTTTGGAAACCTATTATATAAAGAGAGGGAAAAGAAAATTTGATATCTATAGAGTAATCATGAAGTAACTTTATGAGATTCTACAATCTAATAATCCCCTTCTCAAAAAAAAAAAACTTTAATCTCAAAATTCAGTATGAGTTGGTATATATTTCTTTATTCTTTCTCTGCTAGGCTTGAAACCTTTTCATCCCTTTGGCTTTAAAAAAATCCTTATAAATATATTTTTTACAATGCATTGGGATCGGTACCCTTTAATGATCAATTCACTATTTTTAAGGGTAAATTACACAGTTAATCATTAATGTTTGAAGTAGCTTTAGTTTTCACTATTGATGTTACAAAACATACAAATCAATCGCAACGTTATCAATTGGTTACAAAATGTTCACTAACCGACGTTAAGACGTAAGACCACCTATTTGACTCCCCATATATTTGTTGACCTACATTTGACCCTTTTCAGACCCATTACTCCTCTCCAATCTCAGCCTATCCCACCTCTCCCTCCTATTCTCCCCTAAAACCCCATCTCGAGTCATCGCTTTCTTCACTGGTTTAGATTCTTTATTTCCTTCTTTGTTAACCCGGTAACCTTCCGCCATTTTTTCAGGATTGAAGAGGCTGTGATTAGCGGTTGAAGTAGAGAAGCTAAACATGCATGTAAATAAAGCGAAGAGAAGCTGGGGTTTTAGGTAAGAAGAGGAGGGAGAGACTGAGGTTGAAGAAGGAGGGGGAGTTGCAGTGGTGTGACATTGGAGAGGAATAAAGGATCTTATTAAACACCGGTCACTTTCCCAGATCTGCTGTTCAGTCACATTCCACAATATAAGTCCAGGGCCAAGGTGGGGTAAAGACCACAGAAACCAGGCCAAATAAAACTAAAACAAGCGACACCATCCATCAACTTCACACACATGTGTACATAGAGTTTACTAACCAAGCTGCTGTCCCATTATTTGAGAGAATCCGCAATCCAGAGTCCAGACAAGTGGCAACTTCATGTAGAAAATATTATCTAGTAAATGATTGCTTCGCCGAACACTTCTCTGATAAACCTTGAATGTTTTATTTTCACAGTTATCTTCTTAAAATGAAAATGATCGCTCCAAGAATAGGGGAAAGAAAATGTTCCTTATCAGTTGAAGGCGTTTGATTTCGAGTGAACAACTTCATGTACAAATGAAAATAAATGAATTCGGATGTGAAGCTTAAACATGGGAACGTGTACCGGCTACAGCAGATCTGGTTTTCAACTAGCAGAACAGGAGGTGTAGCTTAAACATCGAAACTGAGAGGGTTTGGTTGGGGCTATTTATGGTTTGGGAAATGTACGGACCCGGGTTTCATATTACGATTGAAGAGGCTGTGATTAGCGGTTGAAGTTGGAACACTCATGTCCCGTATACGTTCCGAGGTAAAAGTGTCACATCAATTATATAAAACATATATTATTTGAAAATCTGTAAACTTATGTTTTTATTTAAAATTGACATTAAAATAAGTAATTGTATTTAAAAACTATAATATAAATATTCAAAATACTATTCATTCATCATATGATCAAAAGAGTTAAGACATATTCGAATCGGAGTATCAAAAAAAATATATATATACATGCCAACTATGAATAAATATAAAAAACATCAGAAAGATGTACTGATTCTGGATGTCTGCACTAGTCTATCAAAATGTGGGATGTCCTGCCTGGCTCCCTCTCTGGTGACTTTGATTTCCCTACTGAGAACCAATCATATGCTAAATATTCCACTTAGTGAGACAACTTATAAGATATGTTAAATAACATATAAAATAAACAATTATATATAAAAACATCATTTAAACAATTCATGCATAAAATAATATAAGAATAAAAAAACAATTATTAAAATTCTTTATTTGAACTATATCTCAAATCCATACTATTCTATTTCAATTCATATCATTGCCCATTGTACTATTATGAGAAATATATGGTACGTGAGTCATATGAGTGAGGGCTCAATATGAAGTCAAAACTATTAATAGTAGTTACTCGTAAAATGTACTGAGTTACTTCACCTCGTGTATCACTAAGGCACACAAGTCTCATGAGCAACTGTGCCATATCATATAACATATGAAATATCTCTTAGATTGCACCAGATCACTCTACCTCGGCACCACTAAGGCACACGGGTCTCATAAGTAATCTATACTAGTGCAGCTCATAAGCTTGTACTTGTTCATTCCACCTCGTGACATGCCAATTGTACCATTACTCTCACTTACATACAATGGACTTATTAAAAATCATATATTATTTTGTATATTAAAATATTCATATGTTCGATTAAAATAAAATATCATAACTACTATTTTGGGCAGTTCATACCCAAAACAATCATATACTATAAAATAAAACAACTTAATAAAATATATGTTCAATTACAACTTAAAAAAACATTTCTAATAAAATAATCGAGGTTGACTCATCGCAAGTCTTCATCGTATTATTTCGTTAAAAAGTTAGTTTCACTCACTTGTTACCTCACAACTCTAAAATACTACTATCGCTTTCCCTTTTACTCTGTACTACATCCTTCGTTTTTATTTCGCTTTACTCTTAGTTGCGATCACAATCTACACGTAATTAATTATAGTAAAAAAATATGAATCCGGTTTGCCATATTACTAATGTCTAAATGCAACAAAAGCAAGGATTCAACGAAATTAATTAATGCACTCCAAACGAAGCAGGCTCGTAACAATTGTTCACAATTAGAAACTTGAACAGTTGGAACACAAGTTTTATTTCAGAGACTAGCACGAAATAGAACAAAACAAAGTTAATAAATAGGATAACATTTACGCACATGTTAAACTGCAAACCATTACACCCCTATGGCCGAATCAATAATTTTTATTCATGTTACAACCACATTTCATGGTAAAACCACTATACCACATTTACGCACATGTCAAAACAAATGAACTGGAGTCATGTTAAACTGCAACCCACTAAAGCCAAACTTAAAATTTCCAACCTCAGCATTTCCTTCATGTAATCCCTTGGCCGAATCACTAAACCAATCCCCCCAATAATTTTTATTCAACTTTCTTGTTTAATTATAATTCCACAACACCCATATCATCTTAATTCAACCTTATTCTTTGAATTCTCATTTCCCCTTTATCCACCAAAATCACTGTAACACCTTAGACCAGAATAACACACAGTCGACTGATGTAGGATGCCACGTGAAACCACTGAAGTGGCTAACAAACTTTAACTTACTTTCTCATGCTTTAAAACAACCATAAAATAAAATAAATTAAAATATAATAAAAATCATTTCATTGAGGAGCTCCAAAATAAAATATTTACACTTCAAAAATATTACAGATCAATTTGATTGAATCTATGACTCAACTGGACAATAATGTTTACAAATATACATGCCCAATAAAAACGCTGAGACGTACATCTGATCTGCACTGGACTTGTTTGGACCTTGGTCTATCTATTGCTTCCCAACTGCTTAATCTACTAACCTGCCCATGAAAACATCCGAATGCTGAGCTAACTAGCTCAGCGGCACACTAACAACTAAAACATACTAATTGCATCACT